GTAGTCACTGACGATAAACGCCACCAAATACGTGGACATGCGCACCGTCTCGAAAAAATCATCCTGCTTCTGAAACAAAGCCGACAAAAAGAATAGGGTAGGGTGGGGTAATTTCAGCAGGTGGGGCAATTTGAACATAGTATGAATAACACATTACACAAAATTACTAGGCCCTTGTCACTCCACTTTTGGGGCATTCCACGTCAAATCGAACAAAAATCGGCTGTTTTGCACCTTACCATCAGCGATTTCATTTTAAATTTGTGAGCGAGTTCTTGTGTCGCTCCGGACATAACATTGACATCTCTATATTATAAATCCTAAATAATCCGCCGCCGCCGCCCACGCCGTGTGCGACGTAGTCACGACGTAGTCACTTTGTAGCGCTTATTGCGGCGGCGTCTGTTGACCTACGGCCGTGAAATTTTACAGCGATGTGGGCCACCTTTACACGTAGGTCGTATTAACTTTTGGACATGATGCGGCCGGGGGTGCGCCCGCGGCGCGTGCTCGCGTGCCCATAGGGTTAACATTAGAATCGGCAAAAACACGCTATTGCTCGGGAACGGTAAGGGCTACGGGGGTGAAATTTTCACTGCAAGTCGGACGCGTGCACTCATTTGTCGTATTAAATTTTCGAGGGGGTTGGTTCAGCGGTGTGCACGTGGTGGGGCCGCGACCGGCGCCGAGCAGAGGGCACGTGCTTTAGGCTCAGTTGTTCGCTTAGAAAACTGAGTGAAAAGCATCAGAGCCAACGAAGGCCGACACAAGGCACCGCTCGCCAAGGGGATTCGCCAGTAAATACAATTAATTTGTTTTTGCAATATCTCAGCCGTTTCTGGGCCGATTTAGCTGAAACTTGGACTGTCGGTGGAAGTGTAGTGTAGGGTACGGTAGGGTAGGGTAGGGTAGGGGATTGTAGGGTAGGGTTGGGTAGGGGATTGTAGGGTAGGATAGGGTATTGTAGGGTGGGGTAGGGTAGGGTAGGGTAGGGGATTGTAGGGTAGGGTTGGGTAGGAGATTGTAGGGTAGGGTAGGGTAGTGTAGGGTAGGGTAGGGTAGAGTTAAGTAGGGTACAGTTAGGTAGGGTAGGGTAGGGTAGGGTAGGGTAGGGTAGGGTAAGGGTAGGGTAGGGTAGGGTAGTGTAAGGGTAGGGTATGGTAGGGTAGGGTAGGGTAGGGTAGGGTAGGGTAGGGTAGGGTAGGGTAGGGTAGGGTAGGGTAGTGTAAGGGTAGGGTAGGGTAGGGTAGGGTAGGAGTAGGGTAGGGTAGGGTAGGAGTAGGGTAGGGGTAGGGTAGGGTAGGGTAGGGTAGGGTAGTGTAAGGGTAGGGTAGGGTAGGGTAGGGTAGGGTAGGGTAGGGTAGGGTAGTGTAGGAGTAGGGTAGGGTAGGGTAAGGGTAGGGTAGGGTAGGGTAGGGTAGGGTAGGGTGGGGTAGGGTAGGGTAGGGTAGGGTAGGGTAGTGTAAGGGTAGGGTAGGGTAGGGTAGGGTAGGGTAGTGTAAGGGTACGGTAGGGTAGGGTAGGGTAGGGTAGGGTAGGGTAGGGTAGTGTAGGAGTAGGGTAGGGTAGGGTAGGGTAGGGTAGGGTAGGGTAGGGTAGGGTAGGGTGGGGTAGGGTAGGAGTAGGGTAGGGTAGGGTAGGGTAGGGTAGGTAGGGTAGGGTAGGGTAGGGTAGGTAGGGTAGTGGTAAGGTAGGGTAGGGTAGTGTAGGGGTAGGGTAGGGTAGGGTATGGTAGGGTAGGGTAGGGTAGGGTAGTGTAGGGGTAGGGTAGGGTAGGGTAGGGTAGGGTAGGGTAGGGTAGGGTAGGGTAGGGTTGCGTTCAGTAACATCCTAACTTACAAAGGGCTCGAACAACTCGCATGCATCACCATCATACTTTACAGTTCAATTAAAAGCAGTTACCCAGTTCTACAAAAATCATACCAATAAAAATGCAAGTTTCTACACCCAAACTAATGCATCCGTTAATCATACATATCAAAACATACAGTTATCGCGTAAACCTGTACCTCTAGTATATTATAAATCCTAAAAAGTACCCCGCCCACGCCGTGTGCGACGTAGTCACTTTGTAGCGCTTATTGCGGCGGCGTCTGTTGACCTACGGCCGTGAAATTTTACAGCGATGTGGGCCATCTTTACACGTAGGTCGTATTAACTTTTGGACATGATGCGGCCGGGGGTGCGCCCTTGGCGCGTGCTCGCGTGCCCATAGGGTTAACATTAGAAATGGCAAAAACACACTATTGCTCGGGAACGGTAAGAGCTACGGGGGTGAAATTTTCACTGCAAGTCGGACGCGTGCACTCATTTGTCGTATTAAATTTTCGAGGGGGTTGGTTCAGCGGTGTGCACGTGGTGGGGCAGCGACCGGCGCCGAGCAGAGGGCACGTGCTTTAGGCTCAGTTGTTCGCTTAAAAACTGACTGGAAATAATCAGAGCCGGGAGGTCGTTGACCTTTGACAACGAAACGAATACCGGCGCCGGGCACCGCTCGCCAAGGGATTCGCCAGTAAATACTAGATGCCGGCAGCGCTCGTGCGTTGCCTTGGGCCAGAATTGGAGGATCCATAGCCCAATGAAATGTGCATTATTTTGGAGGCCTTGCCTGGGACTACCATTGAACCGATTTTGAGGTTGATAGCTTAAAATTTCTTTGAGCCAGAGGACCTCACGTCAAAACGGTTTTCCGACCCCAGCACGTGCAGCCTGCACCCCTCGCAGACGGTGACCCCCCTGGAAACTGGTTCAAGGCGTTACCGATGTGTCCCGCCAGTATGGCTTTGCCCGTGACCTCGGGTTGACCTGTAGCCTTGACAAAAAATTTCGTGTCACCGAAACTTTGAAGCGGAATAGCATGTGCCACGAAGCACCGAGCGAACCGAGGCCAGCACCAAAAGTTTACCTCGCCGGAGACGAATCAAACGGTCCCACTTTCGTCCCGATCGGTTCACCCATTTTGACTCCAGGTCCAAAAAAGCTTGGACAAACTCACTCACATACTCACTGACAAACAGGTTCAGCCGAACTTTTTTCAGCGACCCACCAAGGTTAGGGTAGGGTAGGGTAGGGTAGGGTAGGGTAGGGTAGGGTAGGGTAGGGTAGGGTAGGGTAGGGTAGGGTAGGGTAGTGTAGGGGTAGGGTAGGGTAGGGTAGGGTAGGGGTGGGGTAGGGTAGGGGTAGGGTAGGGTAGGGTAGTGTAGGGGTAGGGTAGGGTATGGGTAGGGTAGGGTAGGGTTAGGTTAGGGTTGTGTAGGGGTAGTGTAGGGTAGGGTAGGGTAGGGTATGGTAGGGTATGGTAGGGTAGGGTAGGGTAGGGTAGAGTTAGGTAGGGTAGTAGGGTAGGTTAGGGTAGTAGGGTAGCGTAGGGTAGGGTAGTAGGGTAGGGTAGGGGTAGGGTAGGGGTAGGGTTGAGTTCAAAAAGGGCCCAACATACAAAACACTTGAACACCCCGCAACTATCACCATCCCTTACAGTTCAATTAAAAACAGCTACCCAAATCTACCCAAATAATACAGCTAAAAATACAAGTCAATCACCCAAACTAATGCACCCGTAACATAACATAAATCAAAACATACAGTTATCGTGTAAACCTGTACCTCTAGTTTTTTTTTAAAATGTACTTGTTCGATTTGAATGAAATAAACCATACTGTTTAGGTAATTTCATAAGCATTTGTTTAGAATTGCACGTACCTACTTAAATATATGACCTTGAAATTTGCTTAACTCTGTTCTTAAGCACACAAATTGAAATAGCAAAAAACACGCCACCTTCGACTTGGCTCCGTTTTATATATTTCATTGCGTACTTACATGCAGGCACATGCCATTTGCGAAAATGGCGAACAAAAGACAGCTGAGGGAACCACCCTGATAGACACCGGTCGTAATGGGAAGTGAATTTGATAATGCACATGATCCGTCGGCGCTGCGAATTTCAACCTCTTTGCGAATGTCCATGGAGGTGATGACGAATGTCCATGGAACACGAAGGTTGTACAAGTGAAGCTTCTCAAGTAACTTGTCAGGGCATATGACGTAGAAGCATTTTGATAAGTCAAGTAGGACTAAAATGGATAAAATGAATAAACTTGGGGCACTTGACCTGACCTCAGAGGTCACCGGTTGGCCTAGGACCTTAAAATCAGGTACCAATATCTGCGTCTCGTAACGGCGCACACGCTCGTATGTATTTTCCGCGACGGGCGGACCAGCTTCACCAGGGGCGAAACGGCGGGGGGATCGTACCCGCCCCCCCCCCCGGCCGGCGCGTATGTGGAAAACCAATAGGTCCGGCGAGAGTTAAATAGACATCAAAAATACTTCTAAAATGTTCAAACGGGTGCTTCAATCCAGACAAGCTCCAAAAGCTGTTCTAAAAGCTTGTAAAGCGCAAAAAAGTGAACCAAAGTAATTTGACGTAAATGACCAAGTGGCATTGGCATCCAGCATAGCAGACATGTGCATGGATCCGAGTGATGGATCTATGATCTCAGTGGATCTCAAAGTTAAGTACAGGTTGGGATCTATGATCCCACCGGATCCGGCGCTAAAAATTCATCTCGGATCTATGATCTCATATGATCTGACGATAAATTAAGAACATGGATCTATGATCTGAGTGGATCCCACCATGCACCACATTTGAAACCATGTTTTAAAGGGTTTCTATGCTAATATGTGCCATAAAACTATGGATTATGACGTGCGAACACATAAAATCATTAAAACAGAACGTTTGTGAGCTGAAACAAGTGTTTTTTGAGGATTTATGTGTTGACAAAAAATAAGTGAGGATCTATGATCTCACTGGATCTCAAGCAAAAAATGAGACTCGGATCTGTGATCCCTACGGATCTCTCGATAAATTACAGAGCTGGATCTATGATCTCGTCGGATCCGAGATCAGGATCCGTGAGATCAGATCCCAGATCCATTTTCTCGGATCCATGCACATGTCTGCAGCATAGTGTATTAGATAACTATCAATTCACATGCTGGCAGGTTTGTAATTACGAATAGTCCGGAAACGTGACTCGGCGTCGACCCGGAGGGCGCCACAGTGCGTGCCAGGCAGGGTGAGCGGGGAGAACCGCAGGTGGTAGGATAACTATGTTGTTATTCGATGTCTACCCATTGTTTTCTCGACGGTTCTACGGTAATCAGACATGCAGTTTTGATATAAAATCGGTCAACGGCATTTGGAGGACATTTGATTGATACATTGTGTACATTAAATTTTTACATTCAAAATTTTCGGAAATACTTTACATAATCGACAAGACCATTGTTTTCATGAAAATCGACTGAACATGACGTCACTCTGACGTCACTTCCGGCCGATCTGAGAGATACGATTTTTTTTCTTTCGACACGATATGTCAAAATTGATATTTTCGAGAGTAATCGAAGTTTCGTGTCGGTAAGTGCAGCGGTTTTGAAGCTATATAAGAAAAACAGGAGGAACTGCGTAGACCCTTCCAGTCATGCGCGGAATGAGTGGACGTTACCGACTCTTCCTTCGCCCGACCCCGACCCCGACCCCGACCCCGTCAATTCGATGCCGATTGCCGCCAGTGGTCGATAAAACTTCCAACGTGCCAACGCTCGTTGGAGCAAGATATTAGCAATACTTAGAAGAGCTGGAGACAGTCCGCCCGTCTACATGGATGCTTCCTTACGCCTAAAATACAGCATTGACTTATGACTTACTATTCGTCCGGTGCTGTTATCGGCTGCTCGGTACCGCGTGTATGTTCCCTCATTTACTCCTGGTCACCCTTCGGTCACCCCTCGCTGGGTCGGGCCAGTCGGCTATTTTTATCCTCTTTCCGGCTAGGCCACCCGCTGAGCTCCCGCCGTGCCGCGCCGTCTGCGAGGGACCTGACCCTTCTGCCGGCAGAGGTTTCTCCAGGTGTCCCCAAGGAGCCATCGTAGCGCTAAGGGTGTGCTCCGCATACACATACATTGATTTTCGCCCTTACTAGCAGGGCCGCTGGCACGCGTTGGCAGCGCCCTGCGGGCATTTTTTCGCTTAGGGTCATTTTGTGGTGAGGAGAATCAGAAAATCACCCTTCCAACTTTCTCCAGGCCTGGGTGTTTTATCGAGCGCGCCTGAAAACGCACAGTGGACCGAAATCACACTTCGATTGCGTTACTTCGTATTAGGTAATACGATTAAAATTCCGCTCTTTTCTCAATCAATAAGGACAAGTGCGTTAAAGCACACATATAAACTTGTAAATTAAAAGCTTTAAAATGCTAAATTTCAACATCTCTAAGCTGATGATAATCGTTAGTTGTTTCAGACTTTGGCGCGAAAACGTAGGCATTCAGATCCACCGTGCGATCGGTCACCGTATGCAGTAGTGTGATGGTGTGAGTTGGGGAATCAAGGCCGTATGGGGAGAAGGTGAGGAGATACCGGTGTGCCGACGCGGCGGATGGCAGTGAATTTTCAGGATAGGTAGCAAAAGGGTCATTCCCAGACGTTGTGCCAAATTTTGCGGCGCTACGCGACACCAACTTTTACGCTATTCGCGAAAAAAAAAACTTAGGGAGGCTGCTCCCCCCCCCCCGCCAGGCGAGGGCTAAGTTGGAGACAGTGATGGGACTAAGATGTTCGTTGGAGCAACTCCAAGCATTTTATCGACCTCTGATTGCCGCGCGGCAGCCGGACTGGGTCAGCGGCCGCGTCACTCACGATGCCGGCGCCCAGGTAGAAGTCGAGGTCCGCGGTGCTGCGCCGCGGTGTGTTGAAGAGCGCCGTGTGACTCTCGTGACGCACCATGGCCAGCTGGAAGGTGGCCTTCAGCTGCGGCTCGTCGAAGCACGGGAACGCCGCGCGCGCCGCGTTCGGCTCGAACTGCGTGGTGGCCAGATAACTACCGACGGGCACACAAAACGGTAGGCATTGGTAACAAGAATCTTTCATCCGGTTCAAGGGGTTAGCAGGGTTTTGAATATTGAAAGAGATCGGCCTGTTTTTGCTATTGCCCGATGAGTCGGGCTCTGCTGATTCTAATGATATGTATTGTATACCATAAAGTGGAGCTGTTTGAAACGGATTTTACAGTTTTTGGCCTCTCCCTTCAAAACGGTTGATACTTCCTATAGCATGTAAATTGCAAAAACGTAGTTCTCAGTAACCGCTTTCAGATAGATCAATTTTGGTTCAGCTAGTAACCATAAATAAAGTTGTTTTTGTACCTGAAGCCTGTCTCAAATAGCCACATAGTGTGGGGCTATTTGAGACAGTTTTGGTTTTGGTGCAAGTGAGGCCAGACTATGTATTACGTGCGCCATCATCGGGTACACAGTGTTCTGGCTCGAGGCCTCAAGTTACGAGTGCCTTCTGTGGTGCCGCCGATCTGGCGGGCGACTCCTCGGTCTGCGCTGATGGACGCGGCGGTGCATTCGTTTGTGTCGGCGGGGGTTTTGCGGCCGGGGAACCCGCTGGCTTGCTACCGTCTTTTCCCGGTTGCGAAATCTGAGTCGGTTGCGCGTTTGGTTTACGATCTATCTGATTTGACTCCACTATTGTCGGCCCATCCATGCAATTTGCCTTCTATTGACAGAGCGTTAGATTTATCGTCTCAGGGTTTTGTATGGGCGATTAAGATTGATTTGCGCGATGGCTTTTACCATATTCCTTTATGTCCGAGCACGCAACGTAACTTTGGGGTATTATATGATAATCATACATATTTGTTTACGAGATTGCCGATGGGTTATAAACAATTTAGGGTGTGTCATTCTGTATGGTTTTCTCTTCAATGTTATGGAGACAGCGGTTTTCTATGTCCCATGGCCCTGGAATGTCGACCTGTCAGCATCGCAGCACTTAGAATGCAAAGGCAACTGGCCAAGGACGACTTTTCTGCGACGGGCCCGAATCTATCTTTTCGACCCCAGCGCCACCTACTCATGACTCATTTCTATGGTGGCGCCACCTAGATCAGATGTTTGGCCGTACCGAACCCTGTCCGAAATTCATCGGTTTTTCGATGTTCGACAGGTGAAACATCAGCATGCCGCTAAAATTTGTCGTAAAAGGTATTTTTGTTGTTACTGTACATTTTCTGTGTTCTAAAGACATCATCAATTTACACACTTTTATTACATTGAGAAAACATTATATTATTGTTCTAGACTGAAAAAAAAATTCAGGCAGCAGATGTAGGGGTTTCAAGCATCGGAACCTGCATCCTTTTATTGGTTCCCCCCCCCATGTACAGACATTACGTTAATCAAAGTTACTCTACAATGCCCGCCTGCCACCCGGGTGTATTAAACTAAGCGGCCCGTATGATTGTTCGTTCATGTTCACCGTGTATCAGCCCGGCATCTGCCTTTACCCAATTCAAATATTTGGCTCACATTCCCATTACACTGTATTTTGGTCTTGCGGGACAAAGTGTTAATCTCTCGGATCCTTTCTCTCACGCACACTACACATCACACTTACAATCGCTCACTCATTTACGCCTCGCGCCGCGCCGACCAATTATAATTTAGATGGGACTGTCCTGGATATAACGGGAGTGCCCACCGCTATTTGCGGCGGGTCGGAAAGCCAAATGAAATCCAGGACATTTGTCGGGGACTTCCGCAGCGCCTGGGCGCTGCGGCATTAATTTAGGGGGGAATGGAAAAATTCGCTTACCGAAAGATGTTGCCCCGACGACACCGCACAGGCAAATGCCTCGAGAGGCGGGCCCGCGAGTCCCAGGTGCCGGCCAGCCGCCGCCTTTCACCCGGCGGGCACGCCTTTCCCGCCGGAGGCTATCATACGGCGGACTGGCCTAACACGCACTCTGGTTCTCCGGCCCGCCGCTCCACACATCTCTCACGCGCTCAATTTAGCCCTTACACATAACGCCTGCACCGAAGGCTCAAAGAACGTCTACCGCAGCATCGAGCTCCTTCGTGGTCTTCCACAGGATATCCAGGATATCATCAGGCCCGTAATCTCCAGGAATGGCTACTGGGCGCACCCAGAGCAGCTCCTGCTCGTCATGATCGCAGACGAGGATCGAGAGATCCGCACCGCGGCGATCCAGCACATTCGCGCCGCTCGCGAGAGGGAAAAGGAAGGACAGGAGGTGAGGAAGTTCACCCTTCCCACCATCAACTTCGGCGCCCAGCGGTACGTCGATCTCATCGACTCCGCGGCGGAGAAGGTCACAGAGCCACCCCTTCTGCGAGATCTAAGTGTCACTGAACTCCAAGGAATCGCAGCTGCTCCTCTCCGGGTCTCGGCGTATCCTGTGCACACACAGGCCGTGGAGCGAGCCGTGCGCGATGTGACAGAGGCCAGCTTGCGGGTGGTGGGCGAGGAGGCACGACACGGTCGCATCACGGCGTGCATAAAACACCGTAAAAGCGTCCCGAAGTTCAATTCCAAGCGGGATGTGCAAATATAAAATCCTCTTCTGGGCGTAGATATTTTGGGCGGTGCGGGCTGAGGTGCCACTGTAGATTGTAGAATCGGTGGAATGTGGGTTGTTTTTCACCTGTCAGATTCGTTCGAATTGTCTGCGTCCCTGTTACTTCTGATGCCGATATTAATCGCCACCGGGTCCGCACGGAGCCGTCTAACCCGTCGCGGTTTAGCGTGACATAAGATGACGGGGGATTACGACTACGGTATAGCTACATGTTTCTGACTGGTTAGTAGGTATATGTGGGGAGGGAGAGGGGAGGGGCTCAGTACGGTGGCCGATAGGCAAATGCGGCTGAGGCGGTCCGTGCCCCCCACGGCGAGCAGGCTAGGGGAGGGGCGAGGGCTGCCACTCAGGCTAGGATTCTGGATTTTTGGCACACGGGATGCACTTGGCTGGTGTTAATGGCGACCTAGTCTGCTATGTTGGTTGTCTAAACAATAGACATAGTTTATGGCAGCAGCTGTTTAGTGTTTGGGCGTATTTTTCGACTACAAAGTCAATGCTTCGGTGGACTGTTGGCTCGGACGACTCTAGCGACATCTGTGTACTTAAGCTTCTCAGAAAGACCACCGTAACTCTGCGCTAAAAAGCAGATGGCGCTGATATCGCGGAATGGGAGAAGCTCTGCGCAGACAATTGTCTGTTGGCCAGTTGCCTTTGAATTGTAAGATGAAAGCTGAATGCCAATGAACTTACTGTGCTTCAGGGACATAAAAAATAGCTGTCTCCAGTAATTTCTTTGTGGTCGACACACCCTAAATTAAACATGCGCCTGCTGAGATGCAGCATTTTTCTTGTGTCACTTTTAAACTGGTGGAGGAGCGTTTTCCTGGTGTTCGCGGCGTTGTGTATTTAGATGATTTTCTGTTTCTTGCTCGGGACTTTGCATCCCTCGGTGGTATTGTTCGGTTTTTGACGGATGTGGGCTTATGCATTAATTTTGAGAAATCTATATTGTCACCGGTGTCGAGCATTGTATTTTTGGGGGTTGAGCTGAATTTGCGCGAGAGTTCGGCGCGGGTGCGACGCGATGTTTTGCTACCCCTTCGTACGGCGGTAGCTGAGTGCTGTCCGTCTTGGCCGTCGACGGTGCGACATCGTCTGGCGGGTTATGTTAATTTAGTTTAAGGCCTCTATTTAAGCTGCCTCTCGAGGTTGTGGCGGCGGTCAGGACGGAGACTGTGCCGCGTGCGCTGCCATTGTGCCGTATTTGGCCGATGATGTGGTTTGGCGGTGGCAAGATCAATGTGCGTGGTCCGAGGCGCATGACCGTTCGGTTTTTGTCGACGCCACTCCGTTTTGTATTGGTATCGTGCGCCCGGGCTGCGCCCCAATTTCGGCGAGATTTCGGTTCGCCCTTCCGATTTATGTTGCGGAATATGTAGCGGCTTTGGTGGCGGTTTATTTAATGTGCCCGGGCACTGCTCCGTTTACAGTGCATACGGATAATTTACTGTTAACGCCAGACCCCTTGAGACCCTAATTTTTCGCGATTATTTTTGAATGCGTGGAATAATTTTAACCATATTTAGGAAATAGCTGTTTCAAGACCTGCCGAAACCTTTTCTTCAAATACGTTTTGTTGTCACTGAAATATTTGTGGCACTTGTCATTGACTCGTAATGTTAACTGTTTTTCCATCCTTGATAGAGGCTTTCATACGTCATATGACATTAGGCTCCGCCCACGACTGCGGCATTGACCCTTGCCCATCAGCGACCTCTGTACAAACGACACCCCTGCCATCTGTATAGGACTATGAATTTCGCTAACGCTTCACGTGCTATGTATCAATTGCAGCAGACGGTCAAGTAAATGTTAGGCTCTTATTGACTCTCGTATATAGGACCAAGAGGACTCACTCCTCAACCTACTACTCATACATGCTTCGAGCAAACGTTAAAGATTCCTAACAAATACGATTTTCGATGTAGGATATATGCTTGAAATACGAGCGAGCCCTATGATGTGAAGCGAAGGCAATTAACTAATTATTGCGTTGTTCGATGGTTGCATAGCGATGTACAAATCAGCAACTACTTGATGACATCCGACATCCCACTATCACATTATCTGCAACGCCATGGCTTTAAATACAGGTGAATATTTCCTAACCTTATGTCAGGTATACGCCATCTACCCGTCATTTGCAGCTTATGGAAAATAAAACAAATATCAGCGAACCTATCAGCACTGTACAAGCAATGCGCATTGAGCATTTATGGCTCCTCAGTCATCATGTCGCTCTTTGGGCACTGTCAGACAAGACGTTACGCACAACTCCGCCGGCTTTCGGCACGGCTCGACCGTCCTCGCTCCCCGCCACAGCGCGAGTGACCGCGCGCCGGCCTGAAACCGCCGCAGGCCAAGACCACAGAGGCGGGGCTTAGCTGTGACGTCATAGACTGACTGGTGATAGCCTCTACACACCGGGTGAA